GCAGCACGAGGGGACAGCTTGTCCGCAGACAAGTCGCGGACAAACGCCCGAGATCCCCAGACCCGGAACGCCGACGCATCGCCAACCTTCCCCGTCCACAGCAAGGCTGGGGAGGTCTCCGGCGTGGAGACCCTAGGGTGAAGGTTGATCTGATGCGCCGCGTACCTCACCGCAAACGGCCACAGAAAATGGGGGGCAGCCGCATGCATCATAGACGTACGAGCGACGTCCATGACCATGCCAATGCGGCGCTCAGCAATCCCATTTTGCTGCGGAGAGTCCGGAAGCGTGAAGGTCTGACGGATGCCTCGTGCACGACAGTAGGCTCGCAGAAGGCCAGAGGAGAACTCCCCGCCTCTGTCCGAGTGCAGACGCAGAACAGGAAAGTCAGAGCCAAAGCTCTGCCTGAGCTGGAGACGAGCTGCGCGGATCCAGTCGATCAGCACCTTAGTGACATCACCCTTGCTGCGCAAGGGGAAGACTGCGGTGTAACGCGAGTAGTCGTCAACAACGAGTAGGAAGTAGCGCTCGTGACCCTGCCCACGGACGCGGGCTGGGCCCCACACGTCCATGTGAAGCGTCTGCAACGGGGCCTCTGTCGGAGGAAACTGGGAGGAGTGAGGGGCAGCACGCTGGCGCCCCTCGACACAGGGGACACAGGTAGGGCCAGGGCCCTGAGGAAGGGGAGGGAGGGACCGGGGGAGACCAGACACTAGAAGACGGGAGGCCATGCCTCTGAGCCGAAGCAGAGAGGGGTGACCAAGACGGTGATGCCAGAGGAGAGTCTCGTGAGACAGGAGACGACACGAACAGGGGGCAGACTCAGGACCAGACCTGGACGCTCCAGCAAACACCCGACCCGACGAAGCGACTCTACCAGACTCAGTAACGGGAGGAGACGCAGTGGTCAGTGTGTACAGGCTCGACCCCGGCTGACGGGTAAACGTAGCCAGGTGTCGGCCTGTGCTAGCCTCTGTACAGTGCGTCACCCGCTGACGCGCAGGAGTGAACTGGTGTACACCCGCATCCTGGAGGTCAGCACCACTCACCAGGTTCGTAGAGAACGAGGGGAGGTAGAGACCAGACAGGGTGCCAGAGGGAGCCGCTGGACACGGGAGGACTGTGGAGAAGCGAGACAGGACAGGACCTCCAGAGGGGTCAGCCAGAGACACTGCAACCGGCCGACTCAGCGGTGTGAGTGTGGTGCGGTCCCGAAAGAAGGAGCGAGACGCCCCAGAGTCAAGGGTGAAGGTGAGGGAGGCCGAAGCCGACGTAGTACCTGAGAGCGCAGACTCACCAGTACCTGAGGACGCAGACACACGGGCACCTAGAGCAGCAGCCTCGCTAGCACCTAGAGCGGCAGCCTCACCAGTACCTAGAGCAGCAGTCTCAATGCCCGGGTCGGGCGGAAAACACCGGTAACAGTCACCCTCATCACTAATAGACACAGCATACATGGCAGAGAGAATAGCATCAAAGTCAAGATCATAGATGGCAACACCCGCCCTGGAAAGCTCGCCCCAGCGAGGGATCTCTGAGGCCTCCGGGAACTGGTGACGCCACGCGTCCGTCAGGCGGCCAAAGCAGCGCTGGGTGGGGTGGGCACCCCCACACTGCTCACCCGCACGGTCGCCGGTGCGCAAAACGTAGGAGCACGGACCAAAACCCCCACCCCGCTGACGCGCAGTGTACCACTCACGAAGCTGCTGAGGGGACAGGGTGTCACGACCACGCTGCTGCTGCTGGCGCGAGCCACCACCGGAGCCAATCCTCTGCGAAGACCCGCGACCAGCACCACCGCCACCCCCGCCGCCTCCGCCGCCTCCGCCGCCTCCGCTACTGCCGCCGCCTCCGCCTCCGCCTCCACCGCCGCCTCCTCCGCCACCTCCGCTCCCACCGCCACCGCCGCCGCCACCTCCGCCTCCACCGCCGCCACCGACCCCTCCACCCCCACCTCCACTCCCACCGCCACCCCCACTCCCCCCACTGCCGCCACCTCCACCTCCACCGCCCCCGCTCGCTCCTCCAGCGCCCTTGCCCCCCTTGCCCTTGCCAGAGCGGCGTCTCCCGCTAGGGGCAGACGCCACACCGACCGACTCAAGACCAAGGAGGTCGGCCGCAGCAGCAGAGGCAACAGAGGGCAGAAGGGGGGAGGGGGAACACCCCTCAAAGATGGGGGTGCGCGGGTCACCACGAGAGGCCCCTACAGCGACTATGCTCTTCTCGGCCGCTAGGAGGGACTTCTCGAGGAGGTCAACAGTGAGAGTGGTGGGACAGACAGAGAGAAGGTGGTCCCGGACTACGCGAAGGGAGTCAGGAAGGCGAGTGACTATGTAGTAAAGAGTGATGTACATGGGGGGGGGGTTCTTGGCGCAGAAGTCAGGAGGGAGTGCAGCGCGGTAGCGAGTGTCACTAGTGCGGAGGTGCGTAATGAGGTCAGCGACTGTGGGAAAGGCAGCAAGGTCAGGAAAGAGGTACGGTAGCATGAGACGGCTCAGTGCAGCAGTGGCAGGGGAGGAGTAGCGCGCAACTACAGCGTCGTACAAGGTCTGAGCACTCTTGTACTGACTAAAGTGCGCACGCTCGGAGGTAGGGAGGTGGCGACGCACAGCAAGACGTGCAGCAGCGTCACGCGTGGCCCACTGGGAGCGAACAGTGGCGTCAGCATCAGCAGCAGGGGCAGTGGAGGCGCCAGAGGTGAGGTCAAAGAGAGAGAGGCCGTCTGCCCTATCGCACTGTAAGAACAGCTGCAGGTCATCTACCCAGACCTCAAAGTCAATGGCCCGACCCTCACCGTCAAAGACGAGAACACTAGGGGTAGCCATGACCCTAGACGACTAGCAGCGCAAACAGTAGGGTGAGGGCAGTGCAGTGAAAAGGCGCTGTGCTCACCAGACTGGGCAGGTCGGGCGGCCCGGAAGGAGGGCGGCGCGGCGGCTCGGCGGCTCAGCTGCTGGGCGGCTCGGCGGGTCGGCGGCTCCGCTGCTGGGCGGCTCGGCTGCTGGGCGGCTCGGCTGCTGGGCGGCTCGGCTGCTGGGCGGCTCGGCTGCTGGGCGGCTCGGCTGCTGGGCGGCTCGGCTGCAGGGCGGCTCGGCTGCTGGGCGGCTCGGCTGCAGGGCGGCTCGGCTGCCGGGCGGCTCGGCTGCTGGGCGGCTCGGCCGCTCTGCTGTCGGGCGGCTCGGTTGTGCTGCTGAAGGGCGGCACGGCGGTCAGCTGCTCGGCCGGGTGAGACGGCTCGGGCGGCTAGGGTGGCGGGCGGCGCTGCAGCAGGTGACGGGGCCGAGAGCGAGGTGGCGGGGCCGCAGGTAGGGTGGCGGGGCCGCCGAGTGAGGCAGCGGGGCCGCTAGGTAGGGCGGCGGGGCCGCTAGGTAGGGCGGCGGGGCCGCAGGTAGGGTAGGGCGGCGACGAGCCAGGCGGCGACGGGCCGGGACAGGCGGCGCACGGGCCACAACGGGCGGCGACGGGCCGGGGGAGGCGGCGCACGGGCCGCGACGGGCGGCGACGGGCCGGGCGGCGACGGGCCGCGACGAGCGGCGACGGGCCGGGACAGGCGGCGCACGGGCCGCGTCGGGCCGCGTCAGGTGGCGACGGGCCGGGACAGGCGGCGCAGGGGCCGCGTCGCATGGGACGGGCGGCTCACGTGGCCGGGGCGGGCGTCAAAAGGGCGGCGGGCGGGCCGCGTAGGGTGGCGACGGGCCGCTAAGGGCGGCGACGGCCGAGCAAGGGCGGCTCGAGGGAGGCCGCGACGGTAGAGAGAGGACCCGAGGCGCGACTCGGGCCTAAGCGGAGCGCGCTTCGGGCAGAAAAAAAAAAAAATCGATGGTGGGCCCTAGGATCAGTTCCCACTAGGGAACCTGCTCGATACCATGAGAAGAAACAAGAGTGGATGAACTATGAATGAAGTGGGTACAAGTACTAACCCTAATTGGGTTGTACCCCCCTATGGGATACCCCACTACAGCCTACACAAAAGTATAAGCTATAACGTTCTGACAGCCGCGCCCTTCAGGTCAAGGAGTGAGAGAATTAGTGTAGAACCTGGATCGGTGATATATCCTTACTCGCGCGGCCTCGAATTACTCGAGTGGCCACCAGATTTGGTGATAATTACTCGAGTGGCCACGCGAGGGGATTTCCGCTGGCTTTTTTTTTTAAATCCGGCGCATTACCTACAAGGGTTTGTATCCCCGAAACCTCTGTACTAATTAATGCGCGATCTTCGATATCCGAAATTTATTATCGTGACCCCATATGACCGCGCCTGATTGGACGCGCATTGCAAAACAAAGCACCGCGCATATAATCGACCAATCATGCGCGGTCATTAAATGTCCCGCGCATTGACGCCCGGACATTGCAGTTTATGATCGCGGAAATATATGATCGGGCATTAATATATGATGTGCCCGATTATATACGCGTCAAATCAGGCGCGGTCATATAGAGTCATGAACATAAATTTCGAATATAAATTATCACACGAAAACATCCATTATATATCATCGCGTAAATTGAAAATCGCGCAATTATCAATGCAGAGGTTTCGGCGATACGAACCTTTGTAGGGTAATGCGCCGGGAAAAAAAAAGCCAGCGGGAATCCCCTGGTGTGACCACTCGAGTAATTATCACCAAATTTGGTGGCCACTTGAGTAATTCGAGGCCACGCGAGTAAGGATGAATCACCGATCCAGGTTCTACAGTAATTCTCTCTCAAGGAGTGCTGGGATAAAGCACTGCAAACATTTCCACCGTGCTTAACCGTGGGTAAGGCTGAGCCAAACTCTCCCTCACGTCACCTTCATTCCGCCTACACAGGCCGTCGTTAGTAGTAGCACCAGCAACTTAGTAGTAGTACTAGTTCGTAGTAGTGTTATTAGCCGTTCGCACCCCACCTTTCCCATGCACGCTTATGTAGTGTTTTATTCCTGTCGTCATGCATCATCACTACTATAACTACTAATCAATTCCGAATTACCGCCGTAAGCCAGAGCAGCCGCAATGAAGTTCCGAATAGAGGACCTCGACGTGTACTTCCCGTACGAGTACATCTACCCGGAGCAGTACGAGTACATGGTGGAGTTGAAACGTACGCTGGACGCCAAGGGCCACTGCGTGCTGGAGATGCCGACGGGCACGGGCAAGACGATCACGCTGCTGTCGCTCATCACGTCGTACCAGATGGCGCGCAAGGGCACGGGCAAGCTCGTGTACTGCACGCGCACGGTGCACGAGATGGAGAAGGCGCTCGCCGAGCTGCGCCTGCTGCACGCCTACCAGCAGACCGCGCTCGCGGGGGAAGCCGCCGCCGGCGCCGGCGCGGGGGGAAACGGCGCAGGGGGGAAAGGCGCGAGCGGAGTCCCGCGGATATTAGCCCTGGGGCTGAGCTCGCGCAAGAACCTGTGCATCCACCCGGTGGTGGCGGGCGAGGGGTCGCGCGAGAGCGTGGACGCGGGGTGCCGCAAGCGCACGGCGTCGTGGGTGCGCGCGGCCGCGCTGGAGAACCCCGACATCGAGGTCTGCACCTACTTTGACCAGTTTGACCGCAAAGGACAAGAAGCCGCTCTGCCGCCCGGAGTGTACACGCTCCAGGACCTGCGGGCGTTTGGGCGGGAGAAGGGGTGGTGCCCGTATTTTCTGGCACGGCACATGATCAATTTCGCTAACGTGGTGGTGTACAACTACCAGTACCTGCTGGACCCCAAGGTGTCGGGGATAATCTCGCGGGAGCTGGAGCGGGAGAGCATTGTGGTGTTTGACGAGGCCCACAACATCGACAACGTGTGCATCGAGGCTTTAAGCGTCAACGTGCGCCAGCAGACCATTGATGGCGCTCACAGGAACCTCGCCCGGCTCAACACAACCATTGAGCGGTGAGTGGGGAGGGCAGGGAAGGCGGAGGGGGGAAGAGGGTCCTCGAAAGCTTGTTCCACTCAGTACGATGATTGATCGGTGCCGGTAGGGCGCTGCAGGATAGCGGGAGCAGAGGGCGACGTGGAACAAAGGGGAAGGGGGATGAGAGAGTAAGCAGGAAGAGAGGGGGAGCAGAGGGAGAGCAGGGGGAGGGGAAAGCAGGTAGAGAGAGAAGGGGGAGAGGGGGACTAGAGGGAAGTGGGAGAGGAGAGGGAGGGAGAGAAGAGGGAAAGGGAGAGCAGAGGGGAATGAGAGCAGAGGGAGAGGGGGGCAGAGGGCGAGGGGGATCAGAGGGATTGGGGGAACAAAGTCGAGTTGAGTCAATTCCCGAAGTAGCTCAATTTCGATCCGACTTGGTGCATCAAGTCGGGCACGACTCTTGATGAGTTGTTTCACTCACCACTCCGCTATGACTCAGCCTGGCACTCTGCATGAGTCCTTTGCGTGACCCCAGTGTGCGCGGTTGTTAGTATTTTTACTAGGCAATCGCAGGTGCAGTGCACATTGTTTGGTGTGCGCGTGACAGGTTCAAGGCAACGGACGCGGAGAGGCTGAAGGAGGAGTACCGACGGCTGGTGGATGGGCTGGCGCAGAGAGGCAACCTGCCAGGTGATTGCCTCACAAGGTTTACATGCCAGTTACTTGCAGCAGAGGTGACCTGCCATGATTCCAACACAAGGTTGAAATGCCAGTTACTCACTACGAAGGAAACCTGTCAGGTGATTCCAACAGTCATACAGCACAGAATAACGAAACCCTAACCCAGATTCAAGGTGGATAAGTGGCAGCTTCCACCAGAAGCATTCGCTCAACACCGCAAGGAGGTGCTCTGCCTCTCATTCCAACATCACACAAGCACTGCGTACGGCACCAACACCACCTCACGTCTCTTCTCCCCCTGCCCCTTTTATCGTCTCCTCGGTCGCCAACACCCACTTACGCTCACACACCACTCCATTTCCTCCTCTTCTCCTCCCGTCTCGCCCCTTTCGTCTCCCCTTCAAACTCTCTTCTCTTCAGTCTCCCCTCTCCCCTGATTCTTCTTCCCAGACCCTTGCCCCTTGTCCCTTGTCCCTTGTCCCTTGTCCCTTGCCCCTTGTCCCTTGTCCCTTGCCCCTTGTCCCTTGTCCCTTGTCCCTTGTCCCTTGCCCCTTGCCCCTTGTCCCTTGCCCCTTGCCCCTTGTCCCTTGTCCCTTGCCCCTTGTCCCTTGTCCCTTGTCCCCCTCCCACACACTCCATCTCATCACCATCTTCCTCACATCCCCCAACTATTGCTATGCCAACCATCCATCCCACTCTCCCCTCCTCTCACCCCCCCACCTTTCTTCCCATCCCCCCCATCCCGCCAATCAGCATGCAGACACGTGGCTGGACAAACCACTGCTACCAGCAACCATCCTACAGGAGGCGGTGCCGTGCGGAGCACTTCCTGGCCTTCTTGCGCAGCTTCCTCACCTACCTGCACCTACCCCTTCTCACCTACCCATCTACCGCACAGTCCATCTCACCTCCTCCTCCCTCACTCTCCCCACCTCCTGCCAACCATCTCCCTCTCCCTTCCTCTCATCCAACCCCCTCCCCCCCTTTCCCCTCTCCCTATCCCCCCCTTCCCGCCAATCAGCATCGGACATGTGGCTGGCGAACCCACTGCTGCCAGCGGACATCCTACAGGAGGCGGTGCCGGGCAACATCCGCCGCGCGGAGCACTTCCTGGCCTTCCTGCGGCGCTTCCTCGCCTACCTGCAGACGCGCCTCAACACCACGCGCGTCGAGTCCGAAGGGCCCCTCGCCTTCCTGCATGCCCTGCAGGCGAGTGAGTCAACGCCACTCCACACACGTGCCCTCATTCTGCGCGTCACCTGCACTTGTTCTCTGTACATCCCACGACAGGAATGCCATGGCTTAACGTTCCGTTCACCCTCCTGCACGCCTGCCCTGCCCGTGTGCATGCGTGCATGGTACAGGCAGCAACGGGCATAGAGAGCAAGAGTCTGCAGCTGTGCTACGACCGGCTGCAGTCGCTGCTGTTGACGCTGCAGGTGGCGGAGGTGGACGAGATGGGCCACCTGCAGTGCGTCTGTGACCTCGCCACGCTCATCGGCACGTACACGCGCGGCTTCGCGATCATCATCGAGCCCTTTGATGAACGCCAGCCACAACTAGCTGACCCCGTGCTGCAGGTGAGGTGGGTGCTGCAGGTGGGTGCTGCAGGTGGGTGCTGCTGCAGGTGGGGTGGTGCTGCTGTTTTCTCCCTTCGATGCCAGCTCGATTCCTCACTCCTGCACTTTCACGCCCTCCTCATTCTCCTACTTACTCTCTTCTTGCCTTTTCTCCAGCTCTTTTCTCCCTTTTCCTTCACTCACGCTTTCCACTACCCTTTGCCCCCATCCCTCTCCGCTGCCACCCCACTCATCCCGTTGCCCGGCAGCTGAGCTGTCTGGATGCATCACTGGCCATCCGCCCCACCTTTGAGCGGTTTCAGAGTGTGATAATAACGAGCGGCACGCTGAGCCCCATCGACCTGTACCCGCGCCTGCTCAACTTCCACCCCGTCTGCATCCGCTCCCTCTCCATGTCGCTCTCGCGTGACTGCCTCTGCCCGCTCGTTGTCACCCGCGGCAGGTGAGATGAGGGCGGGTTGTTGTGCGTGAGAGTAAGGGGGGGTTTTCATGCGTGGGAGAGTGTTTCCTCTGCACTCTTGTCGTGACATGAAGTCAGTAAGGGAGGTGTGACAGGGCAGTAATAAATGGTACAATGATGCTGTAGAGACTGCCAATCCTCCACTAACTCACACTCCGTGTGCATCCGGTTCCTCCCTCTGCTGCTTTCCCGGTACTATCTCGCGTTGGTCGTCACACAGGGGGGTAAGGGAGGTGAAGATTCATTCTTTCATAGGTACAACCCGAAACCCAGAACCCTGTGAAACTGTTGTCCCTGCCCCACCAGCGACCAGCTGCCTCGGAGCACGCGCTTTAACATGCGCAGCGCCCCGGCTGTGGTGCGCAATTATGGGCGCAACCCTGAACCCTCCCAACCCTGTTGACCATCCTCATTCTCTTGACCCCCCCACCAGCGACCAGCTGCCGCTGAGCACGCGGTTTGACATGCGCAGCGACCCCGGTGTCGTGCGCAACTACGGCCGCCTGCTCGTCGACATGGCCGCGTGCGTGCCGGATGGCATCGTTTGTTTCTTTGTGAGCTACGCGTACATGGACGGCATTGTGAACAGCTGGAACGACATGGGCATCCTCAAGGTGCGGCTCAGGGCTTGGGAGTTTCGGGGTTGGTTGTCCTGTTCTTGGTACAAAGGTACGAGGTGGAGGGTTTCCAAGTTGGGGTTTGTGAGGTGAAGGACCAGGTGTGGTAGTGAGACAGACGTGGGCCACATGGGAGCAATGCTAGTGGTGCCCCTTCCATGGCCCATCGTGCCATGCGCCATCATGCCATGCGCCATCATGCCATGTGCCATCGTGCCATGCGCCATCGTGCCATGCGCCATCGTGCCATGCGCCATCGTGCCATGTGCCATCGTGCCATGCGCCATCGTGCCATGCGCCATCGTGCCATGTGCCATCGTGCCATGTGCCATCGTGCCATGCGCCACCATGAATGCCATGGCCAGCAATGGAGATGAAGGGTTTGGTGGAAGCACAGCCCAGTCGCATCTCAACCAAACCATGCGACTGGGCTGTGCTGCACCACGCCCAACCCATGCCGATCACTTCCAACACCCCTCTCCATCATAAGGTGATCGATTACCAGTTGGTGTTGGTCGGGTCACGGGACATGGGCAAACCCACCATCGCAATGGCATGCATGTTACTTATTCTCATGCCGCATGGCGCCATGCCCCCCCATGGCATGCGGCATGGCGCCATACCCCCAGGGCCCAGGGGATGGAGCACAAGCTGGTGATCACTGACGCGCGGGACATGCTGACATGGCAACCACGCTTGCAATGCCACTTGCCCCAACCCATATCCCATCCTCTGCCGCATGCATGCCCCAGGCCATGCATGCCCTATGCCATGCCCATACTGTGCCCCAGGCCATGCCCTGTGCCATGCCCATACTGTGCCCCAGGCCATGCCCTGTGCCATGCCCATACTGTGCCCCAGGCCATGCCCTGTGCCATGCCCATACTGTGCCCCAGGCCATGCCCTGTGCCATGCCCATACTGTGCCCCAGGCCATGCCCTGTGCCATGCCCATACTGTGCCCCAGGCCATGCCCTGTGCCCCCCGTGCTTCCCGTGCCGCCCCTCGCCCACTCTACCTGGAGGTGATGGAGCAGAATCTGGTGTTCATCGAGACACAGGACGTGGTGGAGAGCACCCATGCTGCATGCCATGCCCAATATCACATCCCCATGGCCCGCGTGCCCCCTGTGCCCCCCACGGCCCGCCATGCTGGCAGGAGGTGATGGAGCACAAGCTGGTGTTCATCGAGACACAGGACGTGGTGGAGACCACGCTCGCCCTTGACAACTACCGCCGCGCCTGTGACTGCGGCCGCGGAGGGGTCTTCTTCTCCATCGCCAGGTGGGCTCCAGCTCGTGACGGGTGAGGCGGGACACGGTTGAGGTGGGAGAAAGGCAAAGATCCTACGAGCAGGTGAGGCGGGCTCAAGAGAAGTGCTTACAGAGCTCATATGCCAGTTCTTTCAGCATGGCAGAAAGAGTCATCCAGAGATAGATAGCGGTGCGAGATGTCTCGTCAGCCTTACTTGATTAGGACCTCTGTGTACTTGCGGGCTTCACGCACGCACAAGTGACAGTATTCTGCCTGATGACATATGCTGCCCTGTAAGGTGACTTAAGCTTCCCTTTAGGGTGACAGTTGCCACTAAAACGTGGCATATGCTAACACATAAGGTGGCGTCGTTGATAAGACATTCTGTATGGTGCAGAACTCGTTCTTGATGGTATTTAGCATCACGATATCAGTTGCCACCTTCTTTATACAATACTAGGTATCAAGCAATTACCGCCACCAAACACAGAAGTACTATTGTGAGTGCTTCAGAACGCCTTTCTACCATGAGTGCTTCAGAACGCCTTTCTACCATGAATGAGTGTCTCATCTCTATCGCCTGCCTCCCACACCCTCCCCGCCGTGGTCTGCGTTCGCTCAAGCCAGGGGCAAGGTGGCGGAGGGGATCGACTTTGACCGCCATTATGGCCGACTCGTTATCATGTTTGGCGTGCCCTTCCAGTACACCCTCAGCAGGTGACTTGTCTAACTCTCCAACTTGTCAATGTGCCAGGTCAAATCGTGCACGTGACCAGGGATTCCTGTCTGTGTGCGCTGCCTGTTGCTCGAGTCTGTCAATTGCACATGTGACATGCCAGGTTGGGGAGGTCAAATCTGGAATGCTAACTGACTCATACAGTGTCTTGCCATCACCAAAGGCTTCATGACGCGACAGCCTTCAACGCGTCCACCTCTCTGCCCGTCCTGGCTCCCCACCCTCCCATACTGATAGCAGCGCCCCTTCACCCTGCCATTGTGCCCTCTCCCCGGTGCGCGGGACAGAATACTGAGGGCGCGCCTGGAGTATCTGAGGGAGACATTTCAGATCCAGGAGAACGACTTCCTCACCTTCGACGCCATCGTGAGCGCACCTCGCCCACCCCACGCCTCCACCACGCCTCCCCCGCCTCTCCCCCGTCTCTCCCCCGTCTCTCCCCCGTCTCTCCCCCGTCTCTCCCCGTGTCTCCCCCACCTCTCCCTCATCTCTCCCCCATCTCTCCCCCATCTCTCCCCCATTCGTCCCCCATCCTTCACCCACCACTCCCACTAGAGGCAAGCAGCGCAGTGTGTGGGGAGGGTCATTCGGTCCAAGTCCGACTATGGCATCATGATATTCGCTGACAAGCGGTGAGCACAGGCCGTATGCAAGGCTGGCACATTTCATTTTTGGTCACCTCACAGCCATTCTCTCGTGCCCCCCTCATCCCCTCCCCTCCTCCCTCCTCCCTGCCTCTCCCCTACCCTCTGTATACAAAGTTTTTTTTTTGTTGTTGTGCCCTCCTTCACCTTCCCGCTTCTCCCCCACGTTTGTGTAGGGGCTCTCCCCCCGTCCTCCCCTCCCCCTCCCCCCCCTCCTCCCCCCCCCCCCCCCCCCGCCATTCAGCTGCTTCGGAGAGGTTTGACTCCAAAGCAGTTGCCATCCCCACCTCCAGCACAGCTAGTTCAGCAAGCTCTCTCCAAGTCAATTCGCAAGCACTACCCCTTCTTTACCCATCTCGATCTCACCCTCCACTCCCCCTGCCTGCCTCGCAGGTACAACCGGCACCACAACTGAGGCAAGCAGTTTTCCACCCAACCCACAGCCTTTCCCCATCTCCTCATCCTCCCCGCCCCTCTCACTCACCTCTTCCCCGCCCCTCTTCCTGCCACGCCAGGTACAACCGGCATGACAAGCGCAGCAAGCTGCCGGGGTGGATCGTGTCGCAGCTGCCCGACGCACACCTCAACCTCTCCACCGACATGGCCGTGCACATCGCCAGGGAGGTGAGGCGTGCACATCGCCAGGGAGGTGAGGCGTGCACATCGCCAGGGAGGTGAGGCGTGCACATCGCCAGGGAGGTGAGGCGTGCACATCGCCAGGGAGGTGAGGCGTGCACATCGCCAGGGAGGTGAGGCGTGCACATCGCCAGGGAGGTGAGGCGTGCACATCGCCAGGGAGGTGAGGCGTGCACATCGCCAGGGAGGTGAGGCGTGCACATCGCCAGGGAGGTGAGGCGTGCACATCGCCAGGGAGGTGAGGCGTGCACATCGCCAGGGAGGTGAGGCGTGCACATCGCCAGGGAGGTGAGGCGTGCACATCGCCAGGGAGGTGAGGCGTGCACATCGCCAGGGAGGTGAGGCGTGCACATCGCCAGGGAGGTGAGGCGTGCACATCGCCAGGGAGGTGAGGCGTGCACATCGCCAGGGAGGTGAGGCGTGCACATCGCCAGGGAGGTGAGGCGTGCACATCGCCAGGGAGGTGAGGCGTGCACATCGCCAGGGAGGTGAGGCGTGCACATCGCCAGGGAGGTGAGGCGTGCACATCGCCAGGGAGGTGAGGCACCTCTCCACCGACCTTAAGGGAGGCGAGGTGGGAGTGGAATGGGAAGGAGGCAAGGACTGGGTATATGCTCGTGTGCTTGTGTTCACTTCGAGTGCTTGTGTTCACTTCGTGTGCTTGTGTTCACTTCGTGTGCTTGTGTTCACTTCGTGTGCTTGTGTTCACTTCGTGTGCTTGTGTTCACTTCGTGTGCTTGTGTTCACTTCGAGTGCTTGTGTTCACTTCGAGTGCTTGTGTTCACTTCGTGTTCTTGTGTTCACTTCGTGTGCTTGTGTTCACTTCGAGTGCTTGTGTTCACTTCGTGTGCTTGTGTTCACTTCGAGTGCTTGTGTTCACTTCATGTGCTTGTGTTCACTTCGAGTGCTTGTGTTCACTTCATGTGCTTGTGTTCACTTCATGTGCTTGTGTTCACTTCATGTGCTTGTGTTCACTTCATGTGCTTGTGTTCACTTCATGTGCTTGTGTTCACTTCGAGTGCTTGTGTTCACTTCATGTGCTTGTGTTCACTTCATGTGCTTGTGTTCACTTCGTGTGCTTGTGTTCACTTCGAGTGCTTGTGTTCACTTCGAGTGCTTGTGTTCACTTCATGTGCTTGTGTTCACTTCATGTGCTTGTGTTCACTTCGTGTGCTTGTGTTCACTTCGTGTGCTTGTGTTCACTTCGAGTGCTTGTGTTCACTTCGTGTGCTTGTGTTCACTTCGTGTGCTTGTGTTCACTTCGAGTGCTTGTGTTCACTTCGAGTGCTTGTGTTCACTTCGAGTGCTTGTGTTCACTTCTTGTGCTTGTGTTCACTTCATGTGCTTGTGTTCACTTCGTGTGCTTGTGTTCACTTCGTGTGCTTGTGTTCACTTCGAGTGCTTGTGTTCACTTCATGTGCTTGTGTTCACTTCATGTGCTTGTGTTCACTTCATGTGCTTGTGTTCACTTCATGTGCTTGTGTTCACTTCATGTGCTTGTGTTCACTTCATGTGCTTGTGTTCACTTCGAGTGCTTGTGTTCACTTCATGTGCTTGTGTTCACTTCATGTGCTTGTGTTCACTTCGAGTGCTTGTGTTCACTTCGAGTGCTTGTGTTCACTTCATGTGCTTGTGTTCACTTCATGTGCTTGTGTTCACTTCGTGTGCTTGTGTTCACTTCGAGTGCTTGTGTTCACTTCGAGTGCTTGTGTTCACTTCGAGTGCTTGTGTTCACTTCATGTGCTTGTGTTCACTTCATGTGCTTGTGTTCACTTCGTGTGCTTGTGTTCACTTCGTGTGCTTGTGTTCACTTCGAGTGCTTGTGTTCACTTCGTGTGCTTGTGTTCACTTCGTGTGCTTGTGTTCACTTCGTGTGCTTGTGTTCACTTCGAGTGCTTGTGTTCACTTCGAGTGCTTGTGTTCACTTCATGTGCTTGTGTTCACTTCGAGTGCTTGTGTTCACTTCGAGTGCTTGTGTTCACTTCGTGTGCTTGTGTTCACTTCGAGTGCTTGTGTTCACTTCATGTGCTTGTGTTCACTTCGAGTGCTTGTGTTCACTTCATGTGCTTGTGTTCACTTCATGTGCTTGTGTTCACTTCATGTGCTTGTGTTCACTTCATGTGCTTGTGTTCACTTCATGTGCTTGTGTTCACTTCGAGTGCTTGTGTTCACTTCTTGTGATTCTGTACATTCTTTGACTTCAACACTCACTTGCAACATCTGCACCCCCCCCTCCCCCCTCTCCCCCTCTTCTATGGGAGTAGCTCACTGTCTGTTCTGCTTTCAGATTGCTCAATCATTTTAGCAGAGTTGACCAACAATCATCACCATCATTTCAGCAGAGTTGACCAACAATCATCACCATCATTTCTCACACCCAACCATACCTTTACCCCCTCTTTCTCCCCCCACTCACCTTTCCGCTTCCCACTCCACCTCCTCCCCTCCGTCCCTCTGCCTCTTCATAGTTTCTGCGGCGCATGGCACAGCCGTTTGACCGGGCGGCATCGATGGGCGGCGCAACTGCCACTCTCCTCAGTGAAGCTGACGTGGCGGCGATGGCCATGGGCATGGGCACAGCAGGATAGAGAAACCGTGTGCTGGATAGTGATGGATGCATCTCAACAGCGTTGAGCCGCGGAATAGTTGGTTGGAGTGCAGATGCCAGTTACTGTAGTTAGTAGAGGAGGCTGCAGTGCAGTATGAGATGGATTGGGTCCGTTGTGTTATGACCGCAAACTCCCGTCAGAAAGAACCCCCCGCATATAGGCCCAGCCGGGGTGTTCTTTCTGGACTACAGGACTTTTATTACAGCCTCTTTTGTGAGGAGTACCCCATATGTAGTGACTTGCTTTTATAAGACCCTCCCCCTTTAATGAAAGGTTGTTTTAATCACATCTTCTATCTTTTCAATAAATCATTTTTTTCATAACTAAAGATCGTCAGACAGTCATAACTAACTCCTGCATTAGCTAATAGCTACTCCTCGTCATCGTCAGGAACCAGGTCGCTAGTCTCTTCCTCCTGGTCGCCTGTCGGTCGCAGAGAGTGGGTTGACCCGCTCAGTCTCTGCAGCGGCGTGCACGCCGTCATGCGCCTCATGAGCAATGACCCAAAACCAACGCTGAGACAAGTCACAAGAGCTGCTTCTCATCCCGTCTGCCAGCACTTCACTGAATCAGCAGCACGAGACAACACCGCTACCCACTGCACTCCTCACTGTGCTAAATCACCCACCGCTCACCCCCCCCCCCCCCCTGTCCCCTACGTGCAGAAATGCATGATGTATGCAGCATGAGAATGAGAATCAGAGGCTTGAAGCACAGAAATGAAATCGGGTGATTGGAAATATATGCATCTTGCATGCAAAATAGAAATAAATGTCATGCGCATGGCATAATAAAACGGGGAATCGGAATCAGACGCATCATGCATGCAAAATAGAAAATATATGTCATGCGAATGGCATGATAGAACCATATTCTTGCTACATGGGAAATGGGAAGGAGATGCTAAAGCATGGTAAACGGGTTTCAGTTGCTAATCGAATGGGACATGCATGAGACATGGAAATCACATGCTTGATGCTATTGGGAGAAATTAGAACTTACCGCATGGGGAATCGAGAACCAGGTGCCTGATGAATGGGAAATGAAGAATGGAAGGCGCATAATGCTGTCAAATGTTTATATATTCTATATATTGTTAGATAGGCTACTGTGAGTTGCCCTCTAAAGGGTACAACACTTTAGGTCGACATTTGTATCTCCTTGTCCCTCCTTACTCAAACATTACTCTCGACACTTGTCTCCTAGCCTATCTTAAGATGGTATTAGAGTAGGTTTTTTACTCCCTCCCACGCTTCCGCTCCCTCCCTTAGCCGGTCCCGAGGCGCCCGTCCCTTAGGCCCCGTTTCGTCGCGGGTAGGACGGCCCCCGCGGGCCTCGTTTTCGTCGCGTTTAAGGGCCCCCGCGGGCCTCGTTTTCGTCGCGTTTAAGGGCCCCCGCGGGCCTCGTTTTTCGTCGCGTTTACAGGGCCCCGCTGGCCCCTCGTTTCGTCGCGCTCCAGAAGGGACTCTCCCCCCCCCCCCCCGCGGGCCCGCGTAGTCGTTCTTAGCCCGCAGCAGCGCGCGCGTTAGCCAGCGGCAGCCGCGCACGCCACTGCAGCACGCGCATTGCAGCAGCAGCACGGCTAGGCAGCAGCGCGTGCATTGCAGCAGCAGCACGGCTAGGCAGCAACGTGTGCATTGCAGCAGCAGCACGGCTAGGCAGCAGCGCGTGCTCCTGCAGCAGCAGCACGGCTAGGCAGAAGCTAGCCGCCAGCAGCAGCTAGCCACCGGAACCTAGCCGCCAGCAGCTGGCGCCAGCTAGCCCCTCCCACCCGCCCACAGCCCCTTTCAACCGCTCACAGCCCCTTCCAACCGCTCACAGCCCCTTCCAACCGCTCACAGCCCGTTCCAACCGCTCACAGCCCCTTCCAACCGCTCACAGCCCCTTCCAACCGCTCAGAGCCCCTTCCAAACGCTCACATCCCCTTATCACGCGCGCACACCACCCAGGACCACCCGACCTCTGTTGGTTCGACACTCGCGTCACTCATACTCACAGTGTTTCGCACCGTCGCGGCTGGAGGCCGCTCCGCTTAGCTGTTTAGGCTAGGCCTGACGTTCGTTGTTAGCTAGGTCTCTCCTCGCTCCGCCAGCCCCTCGAACGACCCTCTGGCTCCTCGATCGGCTCGTCAGCCCTGCCTCCTCCAGCCGTGTGCTCCTAGGTCAGCTAACTCCCAGCTCCGTTCGTTACTAGACTGGCGTTCCTAGCTCAGTTTTCCTCCGTGCTCCAGCAGTACCTCGCCTAGTCCCACCTGGCGCTCCTCGCTCCTAGCTCCGTTTGCTCCGTGCTCCAGCTGTTCCTAGCCTAGCGTCCAATATGGACTCCTCCCGCCGCCTTCGTTTCGATGCAGAGGGGCGCCCGATAGAGTTCGGCACCTGGCTCCGCCAGACTCAGCGCTATCTCACCAGTCAGCGCCAGGACGGCGCCACCCTGTACGCCCACGCGTCCGGCGCCCTCCAGGCACCACCGCGTCCCGAGCCCCTCCCTGCCGTGCCCCCCCCGACTCCGGAGGCACAGGCGGACTACGCTCGTCTCGTCTTGGCGCGGGACGTTTGGGACTCCCGTGACGCTGCGGCTGCACTCGCGCTGACCGAGCTCCTTCCACCGACTGAGGCCGCTCACTTCGACCTGGTAGAGACTGCGAAGGAGGTGTATGATGCTATTTCTGCACGCTATTCCACCCCTTCCTCTGCCTCCCTCAGCCGCATCCTCATGCCGTTCGTGTTTCCCGACCTCGGCTCTTTTGCGACTGTCTCTGACCTAGCCACACACTTGCGCTCCCTTGTCGCTAGCTACCGAGCAGCTTGCACTGAGGCTCAGCTTCTTGTTGCTCCTCCTCCTATTTGGCTCACAGTCCACTGGGTAGTCACTCGTCTCCCTGACCGCCTCTCCACTGCCCTGTCAGAATATTATGCTCTAGCCTGTAGTGGGGTGCTCTATAGCGAGTACAATCCTTCTAGGGTTTGCTATTTGTATCCTCATTCTTGCTAGTGCAACCCTCCTTCTTCTTAACTCCTCCTTTTTCTTTTTAAACTTTCACATGCTCTCAGAGCAGGTCGATCCCCTTGGATCGATCCTGTGGGTGGGCTCACCACCTCGTTGCTTCCGCTGCAACTTCCACTACTACCTTCTGTGCCGCACGCCCCGTGGCGTGCGGCAGTTTTTCTTCCCGCCGTGCGCCCCGAGGCGCGCGGCGGTTTTCTGCCCGCCGTGCGCCCCGTGGCGCGCGGCGGTTCTCTGCCCGCTGTGCGCCCCGAGGCGCGCGGCGGGCTTCTACCCCGTCACTCGCCGCGTCGCCCTCGGGAGGCGCTGCGACGGGCGACGGGGACCCGCGCGTCGCCCCCCGTCGCCCGTCGTGGCCTGCGCGCGGCCCGTACAGCCGGCGCGCGGCCCGTACGGGCTGCGCCAGGCCTGCGCGCGGCCCGTACGGGCTGCGCCAGACCCGCGCGCGGCCCGTACGGGCTGCGCCAGACCCGCGCGCGGCCCGTACGGGCTGCGCCAGGCCCGCGCGCGGCCCGTACGGGCTGCGCCAGGCCCGCGCGCGGCTCGGGCCGCCTGCGCGCGGTTCGGGAGGCTGTGCCAGGCCCGTGGGCGGCCCTTTCCTCGCTGCCCCTGCCCTCCCCGCTGTCCCCCGTGCTTCTGCTGGCGCCCCACCCCTCCTACAGCCCGTTCTCCTGAATTAGGGTTTGGGGGTGAGGGGTATGGGGGTGAAACTACTGTGTGCCGTTCCCTGCTCCTCCTCCTCCTCCGTCTCCCTGTGCTGCAGCTGCCGCTGAGGGGGGGTGGACTTGTTGGAGCCGTTGGAGTGGTGCTAAGGGGGGGTGAAGGGGGAGTGGAGCTAGCGGTGTAGCAGCGGGTGTGTGTCAGGAGGGGTGGTACTGTTTGGGGGAGGTCGAGTGGAGGCAGCAGTCTTGTCGTCAGCAGCAGCAGCAGTCCGGAGGCTACAATCTCCGGTAGTCGCCAGTCGCCCGTGGGTCCGTTGCTCGTCTGCCGCTACTTTTAGCCGCGGGGCCAGTTACCCCAGTAGTCCGGAGCGTTGTTCCGGTAGCCACTGAGCCAGCAGCTCGTCTGTGTGTCTGCAGCGTCAGCAGTCGCCTCCCATCTTCTCTCCCCCACAGTCTCTCCTCCTCCTCACTTGCCCTCTGCGATAGCCTCTAGCTTTGCTCATAATTGTGAACTTTAAACTATTGCTTCTTGAACTTGTGCTCAGAATGTGTGGTGACATTGTGATCCACCCTGAGCTTGTACTGCTGTGCTTGCTCTGCTGATTACACCCCACTTTGGCTATGGGGGTGTGTCAGAATATTATGCTCTAGCCTGTAGTGGGGTGCTCTATAGCGAGTACAACCCTTCTAGGGTTTGCTATTTGTATCCTCATTCTTGCTAGTGCAACCCTCCTTCTTCTTAATTCCTCTTAAACTTTCACATGCCCGTGACGCACTTCTCCAGCATCACCCCAGTGAGCTTACGATTGATCTTCTCGAGACCACTCTCGGGAAGATCGAGAGTAACCTCCTCTCTGTTGCCTCAGCCACTGACGCAGTTGCCCCTCGTTTGTTTGAGGGGTGTGCTGTCCCCCAGCTTCCTACCTTCACTGTTACACGTGCCTCTGCTGCTGTGTCGGTTTCTGAGGACACTGCAGCTGTTTCTGCCGCTGACAGGCAGAAACGGGGCAAGGGGGGCAAGAAAGGGGGGAAGGGGGGTGGCGGCGGTGGAGGAGGTGGCGGTGGTGGAGGCGGCCCTGGGGGCGGCAGTGGTGGCGGTGTTGCCCCAGGCGGAGGGAGCTCTGGAGGAGGTGCTGACCCACCTGCTGGAGGAGGTTCGACCAGCGGTGGTGCGGGGCCCCAGCAGCAGCAGCCACAGCAGCAGCAGCCACAGCAGAGACAGCAGCTGCACCAGGGACAGCAGCAGTGGCAGGCACCACAGCAGTTTCAGACGTGGGGACCCCCACTGCAGTGGGGTCCGCAGCAGCACTGGGG